CCCGGTCCGCCACCCCGGCCGCCCCCCCCTCCTCCACTTTGAATTATTAATGTAAGACGTAGTAGTAATCAATAGGATAACACAGCAAGGGTCCGTTACAGTTTTGTCCTTCATCTGATTAAAAAAAAACAAAGTCTTGGCTTTCAGAATATTAAACTTGTTTCGGCAAATTCAGATGATAAATACAACTTTGAAGTTTGTAACGGCATAATTACAAGCGGAGAACGGAGTAACTTGACGTCACAGCAGGCATAACAACAGCCGGTGTTTTCCCCGGGAAACAAACACAATACACACAAACGCAAATATACACAAACACACACACGTCAGAATGAGAATATGTTTCACATGTGACTTATTCAAATTGCGAGTGATTGAGTGAAGAAAAAGTTTGAGAGTGGCGCTCGGAAAAGGAAATTGTTGAGGGAAAAGGAGTTTCGAAACAAGCAGCTGTTACAAAAAATACCGAAGCTTACAGGTTATTTTAAACCTGTAGGCCAGGATGAGGAGGAAGGACAGATGAGTTCTGTACCGAGCGGTAGCGGTGCCGGCCGCGGGGCCTCGGAGACAAGTAGGCCGTCTGGTTCTGATAGCGATGGAGTAGCGGGAGAGGAAAAACAGACAGGAGGGACATTATCTGTTGGAGGAGATGGAGAGGACGACGAGGACTTGCTACGTGGAGGGGAGCCAACGGCAACCGGACAAATACATGAGGGAGGCCCGATACGTCACTCATATGGAGGAGAGGACCAGGCGCGTGTAGAGCAGAGTAGAGAAGTGCGATCACAGAGCCTGCCGAGGCTATAAATGACTTTGATTTGGTGTTTAAATAGGGGGCCTACAAAAACTATCAGCCCCAGGGCCTGAAAGCAGGTTAAGGCGGGCTTGCCTATATCTCTTGATCAATTCACAGTCTTCCATTGTCTCCAAAACATTTCGTCTCTCAGCCATTTTCAGATTCTTTGTGAATAGGTCTTACTGAGTTAGGAGTCCTCTCGAGGACTTTTAAGCTCTCCCAGACTTAGGTGCTACTTTTAGGCTTAAAATGCTTTGTGAATTGCTCTTAGTGAATAAAATTAGGAGTCCTAAATTTAAGACTGACACGCCCATTATGCTTAGGAGTTTCTCCTAAATTCGCCAGTTAGGAGCTACTTTTAGCCCTAAGATCCTTTGTGAATACGGCCCCTGGACTCTATCTCCTGCAGTATTCATGCTCTAATGTGTTTTTATTTTACCTCTCCATCGCGGGTTTCGATGGTCTTGATGAGGACGGTTTTCTTTGAATGCAGCTCAGAGTTGCGCTGGTGCTCAGGGCTGGTCTCTGCAAACACACAGGAAGAGAGTACATGACATTACATTACATCACATGTCACTTGTTAGACGCTTTTATCCAAAGCGACTAACATACTCAATACACTGGACAATCCCCACAGGAGCACTTTGGGGAGAAGTGTCTCAGGGACACAATGACATGCTGACTGCAGTGGGGTTTGAACCTGCTATCCCCTGATTCAAAGTCCAGCACACTATCCACTCAGCCCAAACCACGCCCTATAAACTTATAATAAAGTGTTTTAAAATCCCCTCAAAATATAATAAAGTAGTAGTCTGGAAACCCAGCACACATAAGCGTTTAAATCCACCACCGAACAATTATTCCTCTTTTCTTCTTCTCTTTCATTCAACATTTAAATGATGATGGCTCATTGTGTGAAAACTGATCTGCATCGACTGTCCTCTAGTGGTGCGTTCAGGGGACAGCAGGTGCGTTCAGGGGACAGCAGGTGTGTTCGTACCTCTGAAGCTCAGGGTGGAGTAACTCTGCACAGGCAAGGTGATCCTGCAAAGGCAGAAGAAAAACATGTGTTTTAAAACCGGGATCCATTCAGTCATAGTTTTGTATATAATACAAAAAGTAATAATGAAATGAAACAAGAGAGTTATGATACTGTACAAACTCAAGCAGTATCAAATTGATAAAAACAAATATTATTGACTTACAAATTAAGTAATAACAAATGATCTACCTACACATCCGAGAAGGGGTGGGAAGAAGCTTACACTTATTTAATCCCACCCCTTCTCCCAAAAACTAAATTATTAATGTTTTTTTCTTCTAAATGTATGTCTACATACAATATACATTTACAATTATAAATAGATGATATCATTATTAATGTTTAGTTTGTTGTCTGACATATTTTGAAAAGAGAATATCAATAGTATCATATTCAGTCTTTAGCTCCTGCCCTCCTACTTCACCTGCTCTCCTCTCCTTCCAGCAGCTTCCTGTAGGTGGCGATCTCCACGTCCAGCGCCATCTTCACGTTGAGCAGATCCTGGTATTCTCGGAGGTGTCTCGCCATCTCGTCCTTCATGTTGGAGATCTCCACCTCCAGCCGAGTGATGTTGTCCTGGAAGCCTCCTGCGTCGCGCCCGTGACGGTCCTCCATGTCCCGCATCTGCCTCATCAGGGACTCGTTCTGCGTGTTTACGAGAACAAGTGTGTGAAACAGAGCGCGTGTGTGTCAAGTTATGAAATGTGTTGATTGGTCGACTCCTGCCTAAACTTGAAAATGGCCTGATTCACTCCAAAGGGACAACTCAATCTTGACTGCAGATGGAAATGAGCTATTAGCAAGGCCGGATTAACCATATGGGCACAACCTCACTCATCATACATTGTTTTAAATGACACTCACTCTTCGCCAGAAATAACACAGCTTTTCTATAGGGTCAAATTAATATATTTCTAATCCGTCTCTGTACTGTAGGTCTCACTACAGTATGTATGCGCTCAACTTTATTACTACGCGGCGGCGGTGTATAGCCGAATCACAGCCCCACCCTTGAGCAACCACACAATTTCACTACATATTTTACTTTGTAACTCTCAATGTGTGTGGCTAATAGAACTCCTTGTGTACTTGTACAGCCAGCCAGTCATATTCTGGCAGTGGGCTGCTGCTCTGAGGTTTTGAGTGATATTACCTAGGTCTTCTTGAGCCATGCACTGTCTTGAGTTCTAGTCAATGTCTTGTGATTTTTGACTGAAAGGGTAGTGAGTGCTCAGTGCCCAGGGGCCCCCTGGAGGTACTAATCCGGCCTTGGCTATTTGCTCAAATCTGGCATAATTAATCGCTTCTCTTTTCTGAGATGAATGTATTCGTAGGCATGGTCCTTGTTGAAATGAATACATAGTAATAACTCTTTTATTTGAGTTCATGTAGAGTTCTTTTAGATTTCATTTACTTTCATGTAGCTTTCATGTAGCCTCACTTAGCATCATTTACTGTAGCTTTCCTTTAGGTTGAACAACTTTTTAAAGAAACACAAAAACACACTTTCATTAACTCTGCTCTCTGGATTTAAATTGAATTAAGTGACAATTAAACTTAACATTTAATGTAATCAGTAAATTAAACTGTGTGTGTGTGTGTGTGTGTGTGTGTGTGTGTGTGTGTGTGTGTGTGTGTGTGTGTGTATGTAATTACGTATAGCTATACTATT